ATAACCCATTACATAGCCCATCAATTAAAGAGTCATTTTAACAAGTCAGCTCCAGGGAAGGGTAAGTGGTCGTGGCACCTTAGTGAGTTTTCCTTTAATCAGCTCAACGGATTGTTTTCATCTTGACACTTTGCTGAGATTAAAAGAGAAAACGGGAATTTGCTTTGCTGTTATTTTTAATAAAAAGCTGTGCTGGGAGGTCTGGGGCACTCCCAGTGATGCTTGGCCTGTCATGGAGGAAATGATTCTTCAATGATCAGGCACAATGGTACTAGGGTAGGGTGTGGTGGGTAGCAGGGCCATGCTGAAGAGATCAGACCAACAGTGCTCTGCTAGATATGGACCCGGGGCCTCACATATACTAGTCACGTGCTCTTCTACTTAAACTGTCTCTCCAGCTCTTGTATCTTTCCATTGGGGCCACTCAGATCAGTGCTTGGATCCAGGACTGCAGGGGAAGAGAGTGCCACCAGGGCCACATGGGGCAATGCCGATATTCAGGGGCCACCAGCATCTCATCTGGCAGTGTTCAGGAAGATCACACGGTACTGCTGGGGATCAAACCCAGGGCCTCGAACATGCTACATAGATGTTCCACTACTCAAATCATATCCCAGCCTCTTGAATGAGAATTTTGATGGCAGAATCAGATAAGAAAAGAGATCCGAAAGAACAGGTTGTCATGATAGCTCTGCAGAGGTAGAAGATAACTTGAGGGTTTTGGCTTCTAGGAGCTAAAAAATCCATGTACCCCAAAAACCTGCCAGGGGTATATTCTCATGAGGCCCCAAAGTCAGCAGTGACTACTACATTATTTGAGCTTTTTTTTTTTAACCATGGAACTAAGGCAATCAGGAAGAGAGTGTCTCATTCCTAGTGGGAGGTAACTGTCTGAGAAAAATTTTTGGATGAGCACAATTTTCTCTTTCCTCTATATCTACCCACTTCATCTTTCTCTTCAGAAGCCGCCCTGGTTTGACACTTCCCTGAGTAGGGTACTCCTACTGCCTCCACTAGACATACCACCTTGACGATACTTAACCTCTACAAATTTTATTCTCTTTCTCTGCAGTGAAGTTGTAAAAGTTTCCCTCTCATGGGGTTATAACTGAAAATATAATCTATGTATGTGAAATACTATGCAGAACACCAGGCACATAGAAAGCATTCGATTCATACCAATTATTAGTATCAATGCATATTATGTCAAAGACTATTCAGTCATTCACAACACATCCTAAAGCATGCCAGGTCATTGCTTTAGGGGCCAGAGATTCGGCAGCCAATAAATCAAGCCCCTGCTCCTCTAGAGTTTAGGGGAACAGTTATTTATTCCCCTACCAAATAAATGTAAATTTGTCCCCAAAAAGTTTTGAATACATACAGTAAAAAAAAAAAAACTAATGGAAAAATACAGTCTCTCTGAATGTCCACAGGCACTGTTAGAAGCTAAAGTTTTGGAGAACAAACGATAGAAATGTTTAAAACATTTTTTTTAAAACATTAAAAAAATTTTAAAAACATAATATAGCTTTCTTCTATGAATTATTAGGAGCTTCATAAGTAATTGCTGGATGGATAGATAAACAAATGGGCACTCGGCATAAGCTGGAGCTTCCTAGTGTATATCTCACCAAAATACATATTCAAGGTGGTACTTTTTTTACTTTGTCTAATTATGTTCAATTCCTCCAGTGAAATTTCTTATTTCAGTAATTAATTTTTAAAAGTCTGAAAACTGGAATTCTAGACATCTAGAATGCTAAAAACTCTAGAAAAAATTATCCTTTTACAAATATATATTTTTATCAGATTTTATTAATTTTATTTAACGTTATTAATTTTAATAATATTTTAGTCCCTCCCCCTTTTTAATGTGTTGATCACATTTGTTTTTATATATGATAATTCCAAAATATTAAGTCTTGGTGAGTCTTAATGGCATTTACCATTTTGAAGGGTGGAAAGTTTTTCCCTCAATGTAAAAAATAAATTACTGTAAAATATAAAATAAATTAATAAATTAATCTAACATAAATAAATAATACAAAAATAAATCACTCATGGTTCTGCACTCAGGAAATCACTCCTGGCAGGCAAGGGGGACAATATTAAGTGGTGGATAAAGCTGGCCTAGGCCTGTGCAAGGAAGTGCCCAACCTGTTGTACTATTACTCTTGCCCCCAAAGGTTTTTCATTCTCCGAATATCTATAAATCCCCATTATTCCTTTATTTACGCAGAGTTTAATGGTCGAACTGGAAAATTAAAAAGTAAATCCACAATGTAATGAACAAAAGCAACTGACTTCATTGGTTTGAGCCTCTTGTTTTTGCTTTAAAGCAAAATACCTTTAAATTTGTAAGTCTACAACTGTGCCTCATGGTGTCTCACTAATAAAAATTTTTTAAAAATTTAAAAAAAAAGAAAAGAAAATTTCAAGCTATATGAAAAAGCAATAGCAATTGGAACTAATATGAAAATGAAGATAGATGAAGAGATCAAAATAAAAATCCCAGAAATGAACCCAAACAATAATGGCCACACAAAGGTGGAACTAATACAAAGGGGAAAAATTTATTCAGCAATAGTCCTGGGAAAACTGGACAGTCACATGTGAAGTAATGAAACTGAACCCTTATCTTATGTCATATATGAAAATTGACTCAAATGGATTAAATACTTGAGTAAAACCTGGAACCATTAAATAAATAAATAAAAATACCTTTTATCAGAGTTTCTCAAAATAGAGTCTGGAGAAGATCAGAAATAGAGATGAAATGAGACGTGAAGAGGAAATAAATCCAAAGTGAAGGCCATTCTTAAGGACTGAGAAGTCTATCCAACCTTCCAACTTTTTTTGGTGCAATAACAGGCAAGGGTCATGTAATGAGGTTCTTGGGGGAAAGAAACTAGAGAGAGGAGTCTTAAGGCCTCTCCTACACTGTTTGCTTTCTGGGCCACTCAATGATCCTTAGAGATCACGCTTGGCAGGGCTGGGTGTGGAGCCACATGCTGAGCCAGGACTGGACCCAGGATCTTCAATATGCAAGGCAACGACCTCACCCGCTGAGCTCTCTCTGGCCCTGCACACACCATTTGGACAACACTTTCCCTGGAGATTCTAATTTGGAGACAATTGCATTTATTTTTTATTTGCTCTTTAGTAGCTGTAGAGCTTATATCCCAGCAGGAATATACACATCCAACCACAGTCAGACACAATCTCACCAGTCTTTCCATGAGAACCGGAGTTCTCGAAGGCAGCCCCCTGGGCAGAAAGCCTGGCCGGCGGGGGGCAAGAACAGTGCTTGGACACTCAGAGATTGATGATGGCTCTGAGACAGCTCTCTGGTTCAATGAGGCTATGTAAAAAAAATTTGTCAAGTGAAATAGAAATGTGCTAGAATACAAGAGATCTAAATTCCTGACTCCTTGCAAATATTACTTGGAACAAATTAGAATATGCGTCATTGCATAAGGTCAGAACTCTCGTTTCTGATCCTGAGTGTGCCAGAGAGAACTCAACCTTCCTTCCCATGCCATGGGCCCAGCCTCTCCATCGCTTAATGATTGGAACCTGAGTGTCAAAGACAAGGGCAGTGACACAGATTGAATCTAGTAAATGGCGATAAATGGTGTTCCAGGATGCTCCTGGGCTTTGAAACCAGCAACTGGAGAGATTTTTTTCATTTTGCTGATAGGAATAATGAAAATTGTATTCTCCACTTACTTCCTGGGAAGATGGTGCTTTATCCACTGGAGCAGGGCCAGGGGGTGACTAAAAAGAAGGTTTTGGCCTAGCACACATATCTGGAATCATTTAATTGTGCATCTGTGTGCAAATCACTAACACACAAGAAGTTTTACTGACCTATTGAGTTTGAACTAGATCAGTGATACGCAAACCTTGGAGTGATGAGGCATTTTCTTGGAAATAAAGACTCATGGGTCTCTGATCCAGAGAGTCTGACTCAGTAGGTCTAGGGGAACCATCAAACATTGACACTTTAGTGAATACACACCATGGACCACACTTTGAGAAACACTGGACAAACTGATTTGGAATATGCCCTTCCAGCACATGTTATGTGCTTCTGTCTTTCTTTGGATGACCAGGTAGCCTGGCACTCCCTCCACATCTAGCTTGCAAATAAGTGGCACTATTGGGTGGGAGATTCTCTAGGTATCTGTTAGGCACTCCAAACATTATTACTTCTACTCTTACTTTTTGGGGCTGGAGCGACAGCACAGCGGGTAGGGCCTTGCATGCAGCCAACCCAGGTACAATTCCTCTGCCCCTTTCAGAGAGCCCGGCAAGCTACCAAGAGTATCTTGCCCGCACGACAAAGCCTGGCAAGCTACCCATGACGTATTTGATATGCCAAAAACAATAACAACAAGTCTCACAATTTGTTGAGAGACTTTTCTGGTGCCCTCCGAGCAAATCTATGAACAATCGGAGGACAGTGCTGCTCTTACTCCTCCAATAGGCAGTAGATCATTGATCCATTTTCCCCGCTTCTTTTTTTTTTTTAATTTTTTATTAGTGAATCACAGCGGGGTACAGTTATAGACTTACAAACTTTCGTGCCTATATGTCAGTCATACAATGATCAAGTACCCATCCCTCCGCCGGCATCCATTTTCCATCACCAATAGTCCCTCCCACCACCCCCACCCCGTCATGTTAAGTGAAATGAGTCAGAAAGAGAGGGGCAGACATAGAAAGATTGTACTCCTTTGTGGAATATAAAGTAACAGAATGGGAGACTAACACCCAAGAATAGTAGAGATAAGTACCAGGAGGATTACTCCACAGCTTAGAAGCTGGCCTCACATGCTGGGGGGGAAAGACAGCTCAGATAGAGAAGGGACCACCAAGGAAAGGGTGCTAAGAGGGCCTGCTTGGGATGGGAGACGCCGGCTGAAAGTAGACTATAGCCCGAACATGATTCCCCACTTCTTAAGGAAACTAACGTTCTAGTTTCTGGTTACCAGGTGACTGGCGGAGTGTGGAAGTTCAGCCGCGTTTGCTGCGATGTTTTCGTCACCCTGGATGTCATGATGTGTACGGCCAGTATCCTGAACCTCTGCGCCATCAGCATTGACAGGTAGGACCATGCTTCTCCTTCCAAGCTTGGGAAAGGGTGCTGAGTGCTGAGAGTAATCAGGACAGAAGGAAGCTGTTCAGCCATCTCTGAGGCTTGGGCTTCGCATTTGAGGGCACTGGGGTCACTGCCAAGTTAGAACTTAACAATGGGACATTTTCTTTCCGCTTTTTCTTTTCTACTTTGCTTTGCAATTGAAAAGAAACCACTGTGACAGAGGAAAAATAATTATACCAGAGCTCTCCTAGCCTTTCCTTTCCCCCAGGCCCTTAGAGAGGATTCTGTTTTTGTTTTTCCACCATCCTTTGGGGTTTTTGTGATTCCTAATTGGGAGCAAAAGAGGGAGGAGGACAAGGATGAAAGGTGAGCTGACAGGGTTCGGAAGGAAATTTTCTTCTTATTATTGTTTGGTTCTGGTGACAGGGAGGAAGGGGAGACAGGAGAAAAGCATTGGCAGTATTTGCCAGAGGGAGAGAGGAGAGCCTCGGCAGGGGGGGCAAGGTAATTTTCCTAAGTATGGCTGTATTGACTGATTCCTTCTTAGAGCTTTAGGAAAACAAGCCAAGAATCATCTTTTATTAAAACGCTTTTGGGTTACATGTTTGTAATTTTGAACGGCTCGTAGATGTCCACCCAGAACAATATTTTCTGACCCTAAGAGGACATTGCCCTGACTCTGAACTTCACTGCCCCTCACTTCTCTCTTTGTTTCTGTTTCCCCTTTTTCCTGCCTGAGACTGAGATTAGACATGGCTTCCTTGACCATCCCCATGGCCCCAGAGAGGCCTGGGAAGGAGTTTTTTGTCTAGTTGGTGGTCTCTGTTGCTAGTGAAGATCTTTGATCTCTCAGAGCCTCTGTCTCTCTCTCTCTCTCTCTCTCGCTCTCGCTCTCGCTCTCAGTCTCTCTTCCTCTACCTCTTCTCTTTCTACATCCTTTCTCCTAGAAGTATCAAAGTATCAACCATCTACTTCAGAGTCTAACATATGAACCCAATAAAGTTTATCATTATGGAGAATCAGAATCTAACATATGAACCCAATAAAGTTTATCATTATGGAGAATGTATTGGTTGTATTAAGGCTTTCACATGATGGTGGTGGACCTCAGGGGTGGCTTACGTGAGGTGGGAAGAGAGGAAGATGGTCACCTTCTCCCAATCCACCTCTGCCACCCAGGACCCACTGGGAAGACTATGACTGGTAAAGTCTTCGATGAGCCTCTGCTCAGCACAGGTCCCAGCCACACCTGCCCCACCAGATGACCATCAGGTCACAGCAGACCACTTTGTCTTCTAGGTACAGGAGTTGATCCCCGCCACCCAATTTCTCAGGGAGCCACGCACTCAGGTTGGAGTGAGGATTTGCTCTTTGCAGGAAAGGAGAAGCCAGTCGCAGGCCTTATCCAGCTTTTGGGGGTCCTTGTCTCGCCTTGCAGAAAAAGAATTTCAGAAGTAGATGATCAGTGAAGTAGAAGATTTTATTCCCGGGTTTTTGAAGGTGTGGCAGGGAGAGAGAGAGAGAGAGAGAGAGAGAGAGAGAGACATGCACAAGGGAGAGTGCAGAGCGTAGAGCGTAGGCTTCTCCAAGGGCAAAGAAGCTTTGGTTGGGCTCTTGGGCTGGCTTTTATTATGGGTATCTTCTGGGGTTGTCTTGGTCTGGAATGTTCTGGAGTCTTCTCTGGGCTGAATTGCAAAAGTTAACCAGGTTAAGGGAGGTGTCCGAGGGCATTTGAGGAAGTTCCTTCATGAGGAGGGTTCGATCTCCTTAGGGTCCGTTGCTGAAGGATCTTTCTCAGGTCTTGGTTGACCTTAGGACTTTTACTTCCCAGAAACTTCATTGTAAATTCTGGTGACTTTCTTCTCTAGAAGTTTTATTGTCATGGGGCCTTTCCCTGTCTATCTGCCTGCCTACTTCAGACACAAAGTGATCCATTTCATCTTCATAAACCACTATTAGGAACTATTAAACTCTTACTATCGCCACTTCTAGCTTCTCAGACAACTAAGAAATTTGTCCAAAATCACACAATACCATGGGGCAGTACAGGATTTCAATGTCTATCTGACTTGAAGTTAATAATCTGAGACTTTGAGCAAAGCCTTCTCAAATCTTCATATATACCTTAATTTCTCCCATGAGATCCAGACCATATTCCTGCCTGGATATCCCATTGTTTTCAACAAGGCAAAAATTCTAAAAAAAACAAATAATTTAAAGCACCAGATCATCTTCACTTGATAGTCTATTGGCAACATCGTGATTCTGGGATGTATAGATTTTTCTTAACTCTTCTCTCTTTCTCCACACCATACCCAAGCTTATAAACTCTTTTTCTGCCACCTTCCCTCTGCCCCAAGGCTTCCCCCAACCTTTTCTTTCATAGTGATTCTGCTTATTTTAGTCTCCTATGACCGCTCTCTTGAATATCCACTACAGACTCCTAGCTAGCCCTTCCCACCACGCTGAGAAATATTCCCCCAAAAGCCATTCAAAATCTAGACCTTCTCAAAGGTTCTCAAAATTTACAGAATCCCCTTGACCTGTGTAACAAAAACGCAAATGCCCTTCACAGTGTAGTATTAAAAATTTTCCATAATACAATCTCCAGCATCCTCTTTTTTTAAAGGATGCGCTATTTCCTTCTGCACCAGGATCTGTCACATCCATCTTTTCCCATCAAGTCCTTCTTCATTTCTACAGTTTGATTTCATCTGAACCTCTTAACTTCTTTTTGTCCTTTTACTGAAGCTCAGTGACAGTAAAAACTGAACTTGTAGCCTTATGCTTAACAAGCAAGAGCTTTTAAACTCTGCTGAGGTAGTATAGGGATAAAAGGTAAAGGTAGAGGCCCTCCCGTTGTTCATCGATTTGCTTGAGCGGGCCCAGTAATGTCTCCATTGGAGACTTTGTTGTTACTGTGTTTGGCATATCAGATACGTCACGGGGAGCTTGCCAGGCTCTGCCGTGCGGGCGAGATACTCTCGGTAGCTTGCCAGGCTCTCCAAGAGGGGCGGAGGAATCGAACTCAGGTTGGCCATGTTGGCCACTTGTAAGGCAGACGCCCTACCACTGTGCTATCGCTCCAGCCATAGGGATAGTATAGAAATTAACCTGTCTGCCTTGCACATGGTTGGCCCTGGATCCATTCTTGGCACCAGCAGGAGTATAAATTCCCTGGGCACAAAACCAGTAATAAGTCCTGAGCATTGCCAGTTATGGCTAAAAAACCAAAAAAAATTAATTTAATTCAATTTTTAAAAAAATTACAGAGCTATGGCACCTCTAGTCTGTTTTTTGCTGGGAAGCCTAATGTAGGTCCTCTTGCACTTCCCTGTGTTCAGTGCTCAGAGGGCCCAGGGTTCTGCCCTCTAGAGCAGGAATCAACACTTTGATGCTAGCACTGCAATTTGTGTTAAGTTATATCCAAATGTGAGCTACCGGTGGCACGCACCATCAATGTGTTAAAATTCTTTTCATGTGAGCTGGCAATTCAGAAGAACCAAAATGTGAACACAAAAATCCTATCCTATACTACAAACCAGCCAGTCAACTTTAGAGTCTTTTGACTTTTATCACTTGATTGGATGAGAAGGAAGTTTCAATATTGTGCCCGTGATGCTGTCACTAATGCCTTGAAAGTGTGTTTAAGAATAAAGGGATATTATTGTTTAATTGTAAATATAGCCATAAAAATACTGAATTGTATATTGTGAATGAAAGAATAAATACTGTCAAAAAGTATTTTTGATAAAAAAATATATAAAATTGATAAAACTGTCAAAAACTGAAGGGATTTAGGGCAGAGCCACAGGACAGTGGTAGGGTGCTTTCCTTGTATGCAGCCTACTTGGGTTCGGTCCTTGGAATCCCATATGATCCCCCAAGCACCACCAAGAGTAGTTCCTGAGTACGGAGCCAGGAGCAAGCCCTGCGCATCACTGGGTATGACCCAAAAGCAAACAGAAAGAAGTGAAAGAGTTTTTATAATATTTCTAGCTCTCTGGGAACATTTCATTCTTCTGTGTTATTTTTGAACAATTCATACATGCTCTCAGGAATATATTCTATTTACAGAAGTAAAGCGCTACATCAGGTTTGCCCGATTATCACTTCCACCACCTCAAATTCTTAGACTAATATTACTTCCTTATCACTTATGATTCTCCATGCTGGACCAGGAACGGAACGTTGGGCAATATCCGAGGAACTGCCTGCCTGAAAGTAGCCCAACCTTATCTCAGAAAGGACTTGAGAGAACAGGGGAATCCCCTCCCCTGAAGAAGACCTCTGAGACTCCGAGAGGCTCTGGGACAACCGTTCTCAGCCTTCTCCTTGCCATCCTCTTTTCTCCTGAGTCTGCCTTCTCTATACTCACACTCACACAGGTGGCTTAGAGTGAGCCTGTGGGTTGATCCCTCCCAAGGGCCAGGAACTGCACAAAAGCACCATTTTGCTGGCAGTAGCGATGCCTCGCACACGTTTTCACTTCCACTTCTTTGACAAGAAGAAACCTTGAATTGGCCCCTCCTGTCTTGCCTGGGAAAAGTCCCAGCTGCCTTCACGTACATGAGGGACAAGCTGTGCCTCGGACCCCTCAGGGGAAGGAAGCTCTCTTCTCGGCTTGCATTTCTGAAAAGACCAGTCCTCCCCGAAACTCCGAATGGAGCCTCCATATTCGAGGAATGAAAATAGGGCTTGGAAAAGCTGTCTCCATTATCCTTCACAGCAGTTTGCAGTACACAGCATTAAATTCTGTTCATGGGATGCCAAAGAGCTGGTCAATTCATTACAGATGCAGTCATTCATGCAGACCTTTGGTCTCCGCACAATGCCAGTCACCAAGCTGACAAACTTGACCAAATGGATTCAGCATTTTTTGGTCATGAAGCCCTGGTCCGTAATAACAGGGGAGTAAGAGATAGGAAAGAAAAGGAAATGATAAAAGGGGTTTTGAAAGCAAGTAATACTATTGTCATTAGATTCTTAGGCATCGCTCTGGACGC